AGGCTTGTGGCTGCCCCCGACCCCTCATAGACCCACTTGGCTGCTCTATCTGGGTGTCTGTTTGTTAATGCCTTCAGGGCCACCTGGGTTGGGGTCTTTACTGCCAGGCTGGTCTTGGTAAAGCTGAAAGAGATTGTTAGCAGCAACCAGAATTAATATCATGATGAATAAAATAAGTATTTGAAAAACTAATTAATGTTAGGGTCTGAATTTATATATCATATTGAGAATTCTATAATATATCAGGCAACAAACAGTGTACTGGGATAAATATTGTGGAGAAGTAGTCTGGTTTGAAGCTTAGTGATTGAGAGTCTGGATCATCATTCAATGTCAGTCTGATATAATGGTTTCTTGGTCTGTGCTTATAAACATTGTTGTAAGGATGAGGCTAATGATGATAGTGCATGCGATAGATATTTATTTTTTGAGAGTGTCTCACTCTGCCACCAGGCGCCAGGCTGGAGTGCAGTGCCACGATCTCAGCTCACTGCAACCTCTGACTCCCGGGTCCAAACAATTCTCTTGCCTCAGTCTCCTGAGTAGCTGATACCACAGGCACACACCACCACGCCCAGGTAATTTTTGCATTTTAGTAGACACGAGGTTTCACCATGTTGGCCAGGATGGTCTCGATCTCTTGACCTCATGATCTGCTCACCTCGGCCTCCCAAAGTGCTGGGATTACAGGCAGGAGCCACTGTACCCAGACCGCAATAGATATTTTTATATAATTTGGCTGTGAGCCTTTTTTGCAGGGGTTGGCTAAGGTAACAATAATTGATAGATTAGGGGTATTAAGGCTGTTAGAGCAGTGGAAGAATACATGTCTGTTGCTTTTATTTGGAGTTGCACCAGTGTTTTTGGTTCCTCAGACCAAAGGATAACTAATTTTTTAAAAGTTGACAAAGCCATGTTGTTAGGCATGGAGGCATGAGTTAGCAGTTCTTTCATGCTTTCTTGGTAGGTAAGAAGTTGCCGACTTCCATTGTTAGGTCTACAATCGAATGTTTTGGTTAACCTATAGATACAGCATGCAAGCCCCATAATTTTAGGGTTCAACGATAATAGGAAGCTGGGCGCAAGATGTATACGCATTAATGTCTTTTCTCATGTAAAGGAAGGTTTAATACTGTTAATATAATATGCAAGTGTCCCTCCTTGTGTCATGATTAGCATGTACAGGGAGTAAAGAGCTGTAATGAGTATATTAAGTCCTATAAGCATAATAGTGATATTTGATCCGGAGAATGAGGCCATAATCAGAAAGAATTTTCCTAATAGATTAATGGTAGGGAGTAAGGCAATGTTAGTAAGATTTGTTATAAGTCATCAAGAGGCTATTAGTGGGAGCAGGGTTTGAAGGCCTCAGGTAAGTAACATGGTTTGACTATGGACTCGCTTGTAGTCGGAATTTGCTAGGCAGAATAGGAAGGATGAGGTAGTCCATGAGCAATTTTAAGGGTGACCACACCTGTAAAGCTTCAAGGGGTCTGAATGAGAATAGCCGTAATAACAAGTGCTATGTGGCTTATGGAGGAGTAGGCAATAAGTGAATTTAGATTGATTTGTTGTAGACCAATAGAGCTTGTCATAACTATCCCTCATAGGTATATAGTATGAGGAAGGGGTAGCCTACATGTTCTGTTAGGAGATTGAGGATAAGAGTAAACCGTATTATGCCACAACCGCCCAGCTATAGGAGTACTGTTGGAAGTCACATTGAGGCAGCAATAGGGGCTTCTACGTGGGCTTTGGGGAGTCACAGGTGAAGTCCGTATAGAGGTATTTTTACTAGAAAAGCCATGATACATGCTAGGCATATTAGATTATTGGCTTAGGAGGTTAATGGTGCTTTGTCAGTAAGTATTATTACTGGCAATTTAGTGAATCTGGGATATTTTGAGTCTAAACAAGTGCTACAAGTAAAGGAAGGAATCCCACTAGTGTGTAAAATAAGTGTGAACTTGCATTAAGGAGTTCTGATTGGTTGCCTCAGAGGGTGATGATAATTAGGGTAGAAACCAGTCAGGCTTCAAAGAGGATATAAAATATAATTAGGTATGCGGCGGTGAATGCCGGTTTAAAAATCAATATAGAAATATAGAGGTTTTTTCCTGGTGGCAATTCATTTGACAGGTGATACTGGCTTGCTAGAATTGTAAGTGACAGTAGTCAGGCTGTTAAGATTAGAAGGGCTGATGTCAGTGGATCAGAAGAGAAGATTAATGAGAAGCTGGATGAGTTATTTTTTAACTTGTTAAAAAATAGGCTGATGAGTAGGCTGTGGATAACCATGTTGATTCAGATTATAGAATTTTTAGAGAATCATGTCATTGGTGACAGTATAATTGTTGGAATAATAATTTTTAACCTTGAAGTAGACTAAGATTTTGTACATAATCTAGGCCATATGTACTGGAGATTGAAACTAGTAAGGCAAGGCCCACTGTGGCTTCTAGAGTGGTAGAATGCCCAGAAGAATCCAGCAAAAAAGAATACTTCTGAGATAATGAATAGAATTATTCCATATCGAAGGCCTTTTTGGATGATTGATGTATGGTAGCCTTGAAATGTACTTTCTCAGATAATGTCATGTCATCACTGACATATAGTTAGTGTTAGTTAGTAGGCCTAGGGTTAGAAGAGTGATAAAGTGAAATCACATGGCCAGGCCCGATGTTATTAGGGGAGCCCCTGTTAGAGGTCAGGGGCTGGGGTTGACTATATGGTAGGCATGTGTTTGGTGGGTCATTATGTGTTGTCATATACGTAAAGGCTTACTGGTATGGCAAAGTCATGGGCCTGAATAAGGGCTACAGAGAATTTGAGGATGGTCAGTGGGATTAGAGTAATGAAACCACTTAAAGCCATGGGAAGACCGACAGTTGATAATACTAGTGTGGCTCCTCTGATTAAATGCATTAGTACGTGTCCAGCTGTAATGCTGGCTATGAGTTGCACAGCTAATGCCATTGGTTGAATGAATAGGCTAATAGTTTCAATGATCACTAGGTTAGGGATAAGAGGTATACGTGTGCCTTGTGGTAAAAAGTGAGCTAAGGAGGTTTTTGTCTTAAAGCACAAGACTATAATTACTGTGCCTGCTCATAAGAGGATTGCTATACCTAGATTTATTGATAATTGGGTAGTTGGTGTAAATGAACGGGGTAGAAGCCTGAGGAGATTGGTTGAGGCAATGAAGAGAATTAGGGAGATCAGTATAAGGAATCAGATTTGTCCTTTAATGTTATGGGTAATTATTATTTGTTTTAGTACAGGTTGAATTAGTCACTGTTGAATAGAAATCAATTGGTTAGTCATTAGATTACTGGAAGTTGGAAATAGTATGGTGGGAAATAAAATGATTAATACTATTGCAGGTAGGCCTAGAATTGTCAGGGTAATAAAAGGGGTGAATAAGATTTTCATTCATTTTAATTCTCAGGGGCTTATGATTTTGCATTTTGATTATTTTTGGTATAGAGAATCTATAGTATAATATAGTATAATAATTTTAACTAAATAATTATTTAGTTAATCATTGACAGGATGACAGTGGATCATGTGGAAGTATCTAGTTGAGGCATTCACTGTAGAGAGGTGAAGAACCCCTCAACTTTTAACTTCAAAGGTTAGTGCTGGATAGCTTTACAGTGATATGACAGTGAAAATATAAATCAGGTTTTGAAGCATTCTAAGGGGGTTAATTCTAGGACAATAGGTATAAAACTGGTTAGACCCAGAGATTTCTGAGTGCTGTCCATATTAAAGGACTGGTCATGTAGCATTTAAGGTAGTTTAAGTGTCTGGTGATTGCATCTGTTTTGAGGCCCAGTGAGGGGATAGTTCATGAGTGCAGGATGTCTTCAGATGAGATTAAGATACGGATGGGGATCTCTATTGGGAGAATTGTTCAGTTATCAACTTCAAGGAGTCGAAGTTCTCCTGGCTTTAAGTCTACTGCTGTTGAGGAAATTATGCAGGATTCCACCAGGAGGGGCAGACACCTTGCAAATCACAGAAGCCTGCTGGGGAGGAACCAAAGGGGTGAAATTGGCTAAAACATTCGATTGGCTGTAGACAATTCAATTTTGCTGTTAAGATTCGTAAGCTAACATGTTACTTAACTTTACGCTTTTTAAAACCCTTTAAAAATATTTTCTCTGGAATCTCAACTTCTTAAATGAAATATTTCAAGCACGTACAAAATAATAGAGAATAATGTAATGAACACTCTTATATCCCAGCATCAGCTTTCTCTAAAACAGTCTTAGCATATTGCCTTGGGACTTTCTTAAATAAAACACGACAGGCACTATTGATGTCTCAGGTGCAAAAAAAAAAAAAAAAATTCTTACTATGTAAGAATTGAAGCCTAATTCCTCATAGTCTATATAGTCGTAGCTTCAATATTATTCTTGGCCAATTGCTTTGACGGTAAGAGAAGCGTTGTTAATTTTATCTGTTATGTACAGAATACATAGGGATGGAAAGGCAATTGAAATTAAGATAACAACAAGTAAAATAGTTCACACAGTCTCAATTTCTTGGGCATCTATGATGATAGTATAAGTTAATTTTGTTGTGAGTATTAGGAAAAAAATATATAGTACCAGGGAACTAATTACGAAAATAATTATTAGAGTGTGGTCATGGAAAGTGAGTGTAAGGTTTGAATGAGGCAACTGAGGCCAGTTATTGAAATAAAGAAATTTAATCTGCTCCTGGGTGAGGTTCCATGGTAGTGGGGAAAGGGGCCAGAGAAGTCACACTGACTTTCTGAGGCGTGGGGGTTTTTATAGCTATAGTGACCGCGGAGGACCAGGGTGTTTTGATTGGTTATGGGGGCGCGGGACATAGACGGGGCAAGCTGCTATTGGGCAGATTTTGGCGGGGCTTCTTTTAAATTTTGGCGGGGTTTTCCAACTGCGGGCTAGGTGCTGAGTGCAGGGCTTGGTGCGGGCGCGGAGTGGTGACGTAGTTCTTTTGCGAGGAGAGGAATGGGCGTGTCTGAGCTCCCGGCGAGGCAACCGGCCTTACAGTGAGTAGTTCTTCTACTGTCTAATAATAGGGGATGTAACGGCTTGAAGGCCTAATTGAACTGGATGAGCCATTAAGACATACAGGATTTAACCTATAAATTCACTTTGACAAAGTTATGTAATAATTTTACTAATATCTTATTGAGAGGGTCATAGGGGTTGTGGGATTGCCTTGAAACCAGTTTCTGGGGTTTGATTCCTTTCTTTCTCTTTTAGGTTTTCACATGGGTTGGCTCTTCGAATAAAGTGGTAGACAGCCGTAAAGTCACTCTAAATTAGTAGGTGATTGTTCATTTGTTAGTGCTTTCAGTTTTGAAGCAAAAGCTTTTCAGATCATAAAGATTACTAGCATAGCTGCTGTCACTGAGATACATGAGCCTACAGATGAGATAATATTTTATGCAGTGTATGCATCAGGGTAATCAGAGTAACATCGAGGCATACCAGATAGGCTGAGGAAGTGCTGTGGAAAAAAGATTAAGTTAACACCTAGGAATATAATGATGAAGTGGATTTTAGCATATGTCTGATTAAGCATATAACCTGAAAACGGGGAATCAGTGGACAAAGCCTATAATGGCGAATACTGCTCCTATTGATAGGACATAGAGGAAATGGGCTACAACACAGTGTGTGTCCTGTAAGACAATATCTAGTGATGAATTAGCTAGTATGATGCTGGTTAAGCCTCCTTCTGTGAAAAGGAAAATGAATCCTAGGGCTCAGAATATTGCAGGAGATGATTTGATGTTACCTCCATGCAGCGTAGCTAATCAGCTGAAGACCTTGACATCAGAAGATTAGCAATAATTATGTTAGTGGAGGTAAAGCATGCTCATGGGTCTATGTCTATTCCTACTGTAAATATGTGGTGGACCCATACGATAAATTTTAAGAAGCCAGTTGATATTATGGCTTATACTATGCCCATGTACCCAAATGGTTCCTTTTCTTCAGAATAATATGTTACGATGTGGAAGATTATCACAAAGCCTGATGGGATAAGGATACAGACTTCAGGATGACCAAAACATCAAAATAAATGTTGGTACAAGTTAGGGTCACCACTGCCAGCAGGGTCAGAAAAAATAGTGTTGAGGTTATGGTCAGTTAATAGTATAGTAATACCAGTGGCTAGGGCTGGGAGAGGAAGGCGTAGAAGCACTGCTGTGATGAGGACTGATCAGATGAAAAGGGGTGTTCGATACTGATATATGGCTGGGGGTTTATGTTAATAATAGTGGTAATAAAGTTAATGGCCCCTAAAATAGAAGAGACACCTGCCCAGTGGAGCAAGAAGATGGTCAGATTCACAGAGATTCCTGCATATGCTAGGTTTCCTGCTAAAGGAGGATAAACTGTCCAGCCGGTTCCAGCACCAGCTTCTACTATTGAGGTTGCAAGTAGAAGTAGGAAAGATGTGGGCAGAAGTCATATTATTTGTCTGGGGGAATGCCATGTCCGGTGCACCAATTACCAGAGGGACTGGCTGTTGCCCAAACCTCCAATTATGATTGGTATTACCATAAAGAAGATGATAACGAATGCTTGGGCGGTAACAATAACATTATAAATCTAATCATCTCCTAGCAGAGTTCCTGGCTGGACTAGTTCTGCTTGAATTAGAAGGCTTAAGGCAGTGCCTACTATTCCCGCTCATATGCAGAATAGCAGGTAAAGTGTTCCGATATCTTTATGGTTAGCTGGAAACAATCAAGGATTGATGAATGTAAGTGAGTCTCCCCACCCCCAAACCATGGTAAAATGGCTGAGTAAGATTAGACTATAAATAGGAAGGCAGAGGTCAAGGCCTCTTTTTACCAGCCATGCTGTGATTTCTCATGCTGAATTGCAAATTCAAAGGAGTAGCTTCAATCTTGTCTGGGCTTATCTCACCTTTCCCCCAGTGGTGGGAGAAGTAGATTGAAGCCAGTTGATTAGGGTGTTTAGCTGTTAACTAAATTTTCGTGGGTTGAATTGCACCAATCTAGTAAGGGTTTAGCTTAATTTTAAAGTGGTTGATTTGCATTCAATTGATGCAGAATAGAGTCTTGCAGTCTTTGGGTCTGTTACAGAAATTAAATGTAATTTACTTATTAAGGGCTTTGAAGACCCTCGGTCTTATTTAGCCTAAATTTCTAAGTTATAGTTAGTATTAATGGAGGATGGGGAAGAGGTGGAAGAGATGAAAAGTCGGGGGAAGAGTAATATGGGTTTTGTGTTGTCAAATTGTCATTTTATTTTCATATTGTTTGATGTGGGGAATAGTGTTACTGAGATGGAATAGTTTAGGCTTATGTAAAAGGACAGGTCAAGTACGGTTATGATAGCTATAATGTTTGGGGTAATAAGGCTATTGTTTTTTGTAAATTCTTGAATGATGATCATTTAGGCAAGAACTCTGTTAATGGGGGTAAACCTCCTAAGGATAGCAGAATTAGCGGAATTATAGGTGTCAACCATGCTAATTTGTTTCAGGCATGAGATAGTGATAGTGTTGTGGTACTTAAACTCAGATTGAGTGCTAGAAATGTGGTTGCTATTAAGATATGTGGTTGCTATTAAGATAACGTAAATAATCAGGTTCGGGGTGGTAATGTTCAGGTTATAAATTAGTACTGCTATTATACAACCTATGTGAGTGATTGAGGAGTAGGCTAGGATTTTACACAGTTGTGTTTGGTTAAGTCCCCCTCAACCGCCCATTATAATGAATAGGATTGTGTAGATACAATCCTAACTGTAGGATTAAGAGTATGTTCTCCTAATAGGAGGATGTTCATATTTGTTGATAGGAAAAGCTGAAACATAATCAAGATAGGGTATAGTTTTTGTCATGTGAGAAGTATACCAGACATTAAAGAGACTCCTTGAGTTCTGCTGGGACTCAGAAGTGAAAGGGGACTATCCCTAGTTTTATTACCAGGGCCACTATTATTATTAAGGATGAAAATTGATTGATAGTATTTATTATTGTTCATTGTCCAGAAGACAGGTTATTGGAAAGGATACCTATCATGAGAATTATAGATGTGGCTGCTTGTGTAAGGAAATATTTGGTGGCTGCTTCTGTAGAGCAGGGACTAATTTTTTTAATTAAGATTGAGGTAAAGGCTAGTGGGTTTATTTCTAGGCCTGTTCAGATGAGAAATCAGTGTCAGCCTAGCATTATAAGAGACCCTGTGAAAATGGTGAGGGAAATAATAAGTTGAGCTAAGGGATTAATTCATATGAGAAGGGTACAACCAACATTTTTGGGGTATGGGCCAGAAAGCTTATTTAGCTGACCTTACTCTAGGACATGGTATGATAGGTAGCACAGAGAATTTTGGATTCTCAGGGTAGGTTCAATTCCTATAGTTCTAGAAATAAGAGGACTTTAACGTCTATTGTTTATTTTACCAAGGTAATTCTTTTGTCAGATGTATTTCCTATGTTTGGATGGGATGCTGGAATGTTAGGACAGGTATTGAGATATATCATCTGCAAAATGTTACTGTAAGTGGCATTTTTCATAAAAGATGTATGAGGTGGTCATAGTGGAATTGAGGGTATGCCATTTGAATTTATTAAAACAGAGTGATTAAAAGAAGTATCTTGGTAATGAAATTTGTGGTGAAGAGGTCTACACAGTGTGTAGTGCTCCTAGGAAAATAATAGCAGTTAGGGCACTTACCATGATAATACTCATATATTCTGCTATAAAGAAGAGGGCAAATGAGCCTGGGGCATATTCAGTGTTGAAGGCTGAGACTAACTCTGATTCTCCTGCTAGATCAAAAGGGGCTCAGCTAGTCTGCTAGTGTGGAGATGAATCATATTATGGCTAGGGGCCATGATGGTGGGAACAGTCAGAGGAATTCTTGTATTGTGATGACTGTGTGTAAGTAACATGAACTGCTTGCCAGTAGAACTGATAGCAGGATAATGGCTAGGGTGACCTCATATGAAATTGTCTGGGCCACAGCTCGTAATGTGCTGATTAGTGCATATTTTCAATTAGATGCTCTTCCTGATCATAGAATAGACGGCTAGACTTGATGTGGCTGAAATTAAAATTAGAGGGTCTGGTATAAGAAGGGGAGTTCATAAGAGGAGAGTGACGGAAAGGACTATGGTTGGAGCAGTCATATAAAGGGCAATAGTAGATGTCGAGGGCCATAAGGATTCTTTGGTAAAAAGTTTTATTGCATCAGAGAATGATTGACGCAGTCCGTAGGGACCTACAATGTTGGGTCCTTTGCATAGTTGTACATAGCCTAAGATTTTTTGTTCAAGGAGTGTGAGGAATGCTATAACAATAAGAGTGGGGATAATGGGAGAAGGTTAATTATAGGCACATTGTTAACAAGAGGAGTTGAAGCTCTGGTTATGAAGTTTTAAGTTTTGTGAAATTGCCAGGCTCTGCCATCTTAAAAAACCCTGTTCTTGGGTAGGGTGTGTGATGGTTTGTTAGACTGAGATAGCATCATTTATGGAGAGAGGACACTTTATGAAATAACCCTATTTCTGTTATCCTTTCATACTAGGAGAAATGTTGAATAGAAACCGATCTGGATTACTCTAGTCTAAACTCAGATCACATAGGACCTTAATTGTTGGACAAACAAACTCTTAATAGTGGCTACACCATTAGGATGTCCTGCTCCAACATTGGATCATAAACCCTATTGTTGATATGAACTCTAGAATAGGATTGTGCTGTTATCCCCAGGATAACTTACTCCATTGATCAAATTACTGGGTCAATGTGTGTTAACTCTCTTAGACTAGTGTGGTCTTAGTTCAGGTTGTTTGGAGGTTGAATTATGTTCCAAGGTCACCCAAACCAAAATTTTTAATGCAGGGATAGTAGGCTAGAGCCTGTAAGCTTGTTTGAGTTTTTATTTGCTAATGAATTAAAGCGCCACAAGGTCTTCCCATCTTATTTGTGTTTATGCACCTCTTCATGGATAGGTCAACTTCACTGATTAAAAGTAAAAGACAGCTGAACTCTCAT